CTACAGCTCCACAGATGTACTCGCCCAAATCCTCAAACTGCTCTCCAATGATCGCCATTAAAAGTTCCAGCCAGTAATGGTCAAGGAGTTGAGCTCGACGCTACAAACAAGCACAGTTAGTGGGCAGGCGCAGTAAAAAAACACAAAATATAGAATTCTCAAAATCAGGCGACAAATTATTTCGAGCCTTATGGTTGCAAAATGGGCAACATCACCCGTTGCTATCGGGTTGATGTATTCAAGCCAGTCTACCCACTGCAAGTTTTCTGAATCCTAATTCACGAAATCAAAAATGAGCATGGAGTTTAAACGTTTTTGTCCAGTTCCTTTATAACCTCTACTTGTAATTCAAGATCACCTCGGAAATCTAGGAACGGCAATAATGATTTTTATGGTAAAGATTTACATGACCCGACTGGCCATGTTGATCTGTTGGAAAGCACCAGCAAAATAATTTGTTCTCTGCTCTCTGCACAGTAATCAGATGAGAACAGAACCCAATGGAGATACTGCCCGATCTCAATGACAGACATGTAATCAGGGACGAGATCCCAATTTAAATCAAAGCACACGTCAGTTTACTTAAACGCGATCAGAGCATGGAATATGGCCACCTGTCAAATTGAGGCAAAGTGACAGGTGGGGGGTGTTTGAAGAAAATGATCAATAAATACTGTTCGCTCTTCTATAATTCTACTGTTTTAGGCCTTTGATCCACCACTGAAAGATGCAAAAAAGTCAACTAAGCACATTAGGCTTCTCCAAGCCGCAAGGAACATTAATTTTTCATCATTCACTACATCATGAACCAAAGTAGAAATTACGGTTGCAATCTCAACGTGTAAGTGTGCACAACAATAAAACATACTAACCACTAAATTTACCTGTTTGTCGACAACAACAAGCCAACGACCACCTTTAACGTTGCTGTCATCCTCCCACATTGGCTTTATACCCTAAAACCGGGTTTAGACTATCGATCCATGACCTCTTTGAAAAACTAAATTTGCAAATGGATATTTTCATAATCAGCAAAGAAAACACCTCCTTGAAAAGGTAGTAGTCTGATCCCCAGTTGAGACCACTTGCTGTTTGTATGTGATTGTAAAGAGCCCAAAAGTCTTCCACAGTATCAAAAAGTGAAACCATCTGAAAGCAAAAATGAGCGTTCAACACTGGATGTAGGTTTGAAAAAATGGCGAATCTTGATAGGGCGAATCTTGATTGATATTTTAAATACTAACCTTGAGACAGTCCTCCCACTCCTTATTTCTATCCGCCTTCAAATACCATAGTGCCCATCTTGATTGCAAAGGATGACGAATTAGCAGCTCTTGTGGTAGTCCAACGACTGAATCACCCGCGCCTTTGTGCTGAAATTCCAATATATCAAAAGCTTGAAAGCTAAGTATGCGCTTACAGAAATACACACCGTGGAAGGTAAATTGGTAAATTAATTCGGTGAATTACGACAGCACAAATGCAGTGCTAACACGAATGATTTCGTATTCCTTACAAAGACCTCGGGAAAAGTGATATGAACCAGAAGAGATTCAAGTACAACAGATTTTCATTCGCTGTTCTTTCGTGATTCCCCTTTCCAATCTCCCTTATTCTTTACTGAGTATGACGATTTTTTTTCCTTTTGTAACCTCATTACCCTTATCCAACCTCATTAATCAGACTCTCTTCTAACCCATTAGCTACTAGTTGTTCTTATTAAAGTCGAACTCAGTCAAGATGGCACTCCAATTTGAACAACACGCTGCTTGCTATTTATGACGCTAGGACCACGCCACTTCGGTCAGGGGATCAAATCCTGGGTCGTGAGTCGCCCGGGCCAACCAAGCCTTCCATCCCTCCGGGGTCGGTTAATTGGTACCAGACTTGTCTGGGAGGATAAAAAACACTGACTTGTACATCGGCTGGCCCCCGCAAGTCATTGTATAGGCCACATCGCATTCAAACGCCACTACGAATGTACAAATGGAAGTAGAATGCGTGCCGCATCCCAAAAAGGGATTGATCAACGGCAAATGCTTTATCCTATACCATCAAATTGACGTTGCAACATATGTGCCCTCTCAATTGACGAATGAAGAACACCGCACTTTCTAAAAAAAACCGCCGGCAGCCGCCTAAATTTCTATTCCTTGCTAACCTCCACAGGTTCCGCCTAGCCCGATCCTACTCGTAGATGACAGCATGAACTGATGAAAGGAAAGGGGAATGCATTCGGTGTGATCTATCGCTTTTTGAGAGACGTTACGCAACCTTTCCTTATTCAAGTCGTATGACACTACGAATGCGACTTGCCGCCCTGTACAATGGATGTGGACCAGCCGACGTACAAGTCAGTGTTTTTATACTCTCAGGCAAGCCTGGGAAGGGGGAAGGACTCTGTGAAGTGTGAGTAATTTTCATTTTACCAGAGTCCGTTGTGATTCCAAGCTTGGTGCTGGAGGCGCACCAAGATGTGCCCTACTCCAAGTGCACGAGTGCTTGAGCGCTTGCGCGCTATGCACTTTTGTGTGAATTTTTTATGATGTTTTATCTTTAGCCCTTTAACTTCGACCTGATAAAGACAACTGCGCTACAGTAACATACAGTGTCTGATGAATCGTAATTTGCAGGGCATACTATGTAGTAAGTCCGTGTGCATTTCTGAGAGTGAGATGATTGCGCGACCCCAAAACGCCCCTTTCCAGCTTCGGAAACTGTGCCAAGAATTGTGAGGGGCGGGAGCACGCCACCCTACCCAGAGAGTGGCACCAGCTTCTACGTAGACATCACGCACCCGGCCTCTACGTGTGCGCGTTTGCGAGTCAGGAGCGTAAAGTAAAGGTACATTTTAATTTAACCGTCACTTTTATTGTGACTTTTCCAGCCTCTTCTAACGGAGATTGGAAAAATCCCATTAACGTTTAGCATGACAAATTTTTTATGCTTCATCCTATCGATAAAAAATTCTGGAATTTGCAAAAAAAAAAACCTTCGCAAAGATTCTCCTTCAGCCTATTACCTACCCATACACCACTGTGACACCGACTTTGGAGATAAAAGCCTGTCGGGTACGCAATGGTGTAAGACCAAATTATAAAAGCTTCGGAAAAGGTTTTGCAGAACGTTTGTGGCGGCTCGTATTGAACGCTGGATTTACCTCATCCATATGCTTCTGGTAGAGAAGCGTGTCACCAAAATGTGGCATCACGATAGATCGATGTCACAGAATGATCGAATATCTAGCTGTTGTTGATACCTTTAAACTCTGCCTGCACTTCCTTGCTAGCACCAGCGGGCAAAGATGCTAAAACGGCCACTCGTAGTTCGAAATGGAGGTTTGGGGGGGGGGGCGCGAAGAGGGATATCGGGATGATTAAGCATGCTCACACTCCAAAATTTGCAGGTCTAGCGAATGCAGAAAATATAACTGCATTAGCTTGGGAACGGAGAGAGTTATTTTAAATGACTCGGGCTTTCTTACATTCCTCCCACTACACGAGAACCCGGAGCCTTGCGCTAGCTGTAAGAACACTGAGTGAGCATTCTATATGGCAATTGGAAATGCCCTCAACACATCCACTGATCTGAGGGGTATATTATGGATGGATAGACAGAACGAAATAGCAAGATAGTAGTTTATATAACAGAACCACTATCCACTGTCCCACTTTTCTAAGATTGTCGAGACTTGATCGATTTTCAGAATCATTTGAAGCGATGTGGTCGAGCTGAGAATTTACGGCAACTTTTGACAGTCAAACGAAAGTGAGGCGCAGTGTGACAGGGCGAGGTTGGGCACTGCAACATCGCGTCAAATCATCACGGAAACGCTCCGTTTTTAGGACTAAGCTTTTGAAGAGGAGAGGAACTCCGGTGTACGGAAGCAATTTTCGTATTCTCCGGAGTTCGTCCCTGCTGTTTAGGCTTAGTCCTAGATGACTTTTCTCAGAGTGCCCCCCCCCCCGAGCCACATTGCGCCGAAATTTATATTCAGGATCTTTCCTTGCCGGAAATACCATAGCCTCTTGATGAATCGGAGTGTTTGGTACATTGACACTCCAAATTATTTTCAGCATTCTGTCCAAAGACTGATTAATGAAAGAACTCATTTTTATACTAACGAGCAATGGTTTTTGTAATCAACAGGGACTTTTGAGAAATAGTTCAAAAAGACACAAAAAGGCGCTCATGTCCCTAAGGAGGAAATTCAAAAACAGCTGGTTGGTGACACTGGGACCCGGCCCAATAGAGGAGAACGCCTGCCAAAGAGAACAAAATTGCTAACATGCCTTCCAGAATCACCCCCTCTAAAGCTTAGCCTCAGGTAAGGTAAAAGGCCCGATCACTTGAATGCCCCCCCCCCCATCAAACGACATGAGCGCCCATGAAAATCCCAACTAGAATTCGAAAACTCACAGCTTCCTCTGTTTGTTGGTTCTCTTTGCCAGCAACAACATTGTCTTCAGAAGCCATCTGCTGTAATAAGCGCAATTTAATATGAACATATCTAGCCAAACTATTTAAACACAATTTCCTAGCGAACACTCATAACATGAACACTGACGACGTAAAACAAGTTGCAAAAGTTCACGAAATTACTGAATGACACAAAGAATGTGGCGAACACGACCGGCAAGTGGAGATCTTACATCGGTATTGATTAGACTACCACACCGCTGATGCTCGCGATTCAAGAAAACGATAAATGATGGGGCGGAGCGAAGGATCAGCAAACAACGCGCAGTTTTTAACATCGCGCCAGGACCACCCGTGAATTCAAATCGCTTCGCTCCTATGAACACGCGGGAACTTGCGATGGCGCATGTGTTTTTCATGTAAAATTTTAGGTGGGTCCTTCCTTTTGATCGAATGTGATATATGATGGTGTCTGTTGGCCGGCCGCCGTTTGTGGGGTTGATCGATTAGCAGGTGGGTGAGTGGGTGACTGGCACCGGGAACAATCTGCCCGCCGCGTTCTTGGGCCGTATGCTGAATGTTGGGTAGGGGACGGGGATGGGTGAACGTTGGGGAGGTTCGTCGCAGGACCCTTCTGGG